CCTCCCCCTCTACACAACACTGGTCAGGCCACAGCTGGAGTACTGTGTCCAGTTCTGGGTGCCCCACTTCAAGAGGGATGTGCACAACATTGAGAGGGTCCAGAGGAGGGCCACCCACATGATCCAGGGACAGCAGGGCAGACCCTACAATGAGAGGCTACGGGACCTGAACCTGTTCAGCCTCTACAAGAGAAGGCTGAGGGAGGACCTGGTGACCATCTATAAACTCACTAGCGGGGACCAGAAGGGTTTGGGGGAGACCTTGTTTCCCCTAGCGCCCCCCCGGGATAACAAGGAATAACGGCCACAAGTTGTTGGAGAGTAAGTTTAGATTAGACATCCATAGGAACTACTTCACAGTCAGGGCGGCTAGGATCTGGAACCAACTTGCAAGGGAAGTGGTGCTGGCTCCTACCCTGGGGGTCTTTAAGAGGAGGCTTGATGTCTACCTGGCTGGGGTCACTTGAGCCCAGTTTTCTTCCTGCCCAGGCAGGGGGTTGGACTTGAAGATCTACAAGATCCCTTCCGACCCTACTTCTATGATTCTATGATTCTATGTACTATACTGGAGGCCTAAGGGTAACTGTGAGCCAAAATATCACTTGCTAGCACAGATAACAGTGTCAAAGCCACACATCACTCGATCAGTCTCCTTAATGATACATTATGAAAAAGAATCAACAAGTAAAATAATGCAACAGTATAAAAGATCAGAAGTAAAAATGAAGAAAACCTTTTGCAGTCTAGCAAAAAACCCTTTCAATGATCTCCAAGTAGCTTTTATTTTCATATGTGAACAATGTCTAAGGCCTGGAAAGGATGATATTTAGTATCACAGTTTCCCCATGTCAGGCCAGATCCTTAAACCAGGAAAACACTTTCATGTAGGAGAGGCCTGGCAATTTTTTTTCTGCTGGAAATTACCACCCACCAATTAACAACACTGGAACAAAAACAGGAAGGTGTAATGAGAATAATTTTTGAAGATGAACCAAAGCAACAACCACCTGAAATAGCTTTTCCCCAGGACTAACTTCAAATCTAAACAACCTTATTTAAAAACAAAACACAACAAAAGCATGCTGACATTGCTAAAAACAGGGGAAAACATATCATATCAATTTGACATGCGTCTTTATTTGCTTTTCTTTTCAGAGTTTGGATACCTGCACCCATTTGGGAACAGACTATCTCGAGAAACTGTGGAAATCCCAACTCTGGAAACTTTCAAAAGCAGGTTGAACCGAAACAGGGCTGTGGTGGTTTATTCAGGGCTGACCCTGCCTTGAGCTGGGGGCTGGACCAGATGCCCTCATGAGATCTCTTATCCAGCCCTATTTTCCTATGATCCTATAATTTTTCCTATAAAAGAAGTCAGAGTTGTTTGGTAACGTATTATATTGGGTCAACATTTTTTTGGCTGGAAGAGTTGTTAGACAAGCTTGCAGGTACAAGATGCCCCTCCTCAGGTCTGGGAAAGAAAAAATGCAGACTAAAGAATATCACCAAATAAATCTGGCCTCCCACGCTTTCCCAGCATCATTGCAGCTACTAGAATATGACAACACCAAAAATGATATCAACATTTCCTATTTGCGCTCTCATTTCTATCCCTTCCACCCCACCTTGTTCAGGGGAGATGTTCTTGTTTGCGTTCTTTTTAAGGCCAAGACAAACATATAATGTTATTTTATTATTTTATTTATTTTAAATAAAAAATGACCAATGTTGGTTTGCTTTCGAGAAAACTGACTGAAGTTGGCACTGAAGAGGGTCATCATTTATGGAAACCAGACCCCAGGTATATTAAGCTGGTCTCTGAAAACCGAAAGCATCCATAATTAGACCATGCTGCACTCAGTGCTTATTCATACAACATGGGTGGCCTAGCTTCAAAGGAAGAGAGATGAAAGGAAATATTAGAGAAGGGAGCCCTGGTGATTCATGGTATGGAATGCAATCCTAAGAAAAGAGGGACCCAAAGAGTTTAGCGTAGGAAAATGAAACAGTGACGTGATTTTACTGTAAGATCTGTGTACCAAACAGACTCATGGGAAATGGATTACTAGACAAGGCCTTGTTCTTCAATGCAGAAGGTGAATGAAGTTTGGTTTAGAAATAAATTACAGAAAGAGAAGCTAAAGGTTTAGAAAAAGCAGCTCTCAGGGGTTGGGGTTGGTCCCAGAGCCCCCACTGAAGTCCATGGGGAGACCCTTCTGCACTTAAATTCTTGTTGCTCCACCCCTTGATAGCCCAAACTGGATGTTCACAATAAAATGAGTTTGACCTGAGCTTTTCAAAACAGCCTATGAAAGTTAGGCAAGGTTCTTTGGGTAAATTTGGTATCTTAAAGATATCAGACGGCTACAACCAACACTCTATGAGTTAAGCACCCATGATCATTCTGGTATCTGACTTCCTTAAACTTCTTTGCAAATCCTGATGGCAAAGATTCAAAGATTTTGGCCTGATGGCAAAGATTCATCTTTTAGGGGGCGTACACACATACTAAGTCGACTTAAAATAAGGTGACTTAACTAAGTTGAATCAAGTTAAGCCACATCAGAGTATATACACATACAGCTTCTTGACATGGTGGCAGCCATCTTGTGAGCTAAGTTGACTTAACTAATGTGACTCAAGATACTACACCTCAGAAGTGTACTATCTTGTGTTGCATTTAAGTTGACTCTGCTCCACCTAGTGTATACATTCTAACAGTTAAGTCAACTTTAAAAGTTAAGTCAGATTAACTGTCAGAAAGTTAGTATGTGTGTATGCATCCATTTATATGGGAACCATAAAGTTCAGGGTGAAATACCCATGGGGTCAAATGCACTATGTAGAAAATGCAAGCAATGCCTTGTCCTGGCAACTCTCCATGGCATGAAATCTTCCCTGTTAGACAGGATCAAAACCATAGAGGGTCCAGGGTAGATTTTCAAAAGTTCAGGGATCCTCCTTGCCCACCAGACCAGCCCCTATCTTTATCCAAATAGGCGTTTACCCGAAGGAAGGTCTGGAGTGTCATCTGATGTAGCTATTTGATGACAAGCTGGGCTGTATTATGCAAGATAAGAATCCAGCCTTAATTTATGCAAAGCAGAGGCAGGCGCTAGAGTCCCTCCTGCTGTACACCCATATAACCTACCTGTCTTGACTGTGGTATCCAGACTCCCTCTTGTGGCTGGACCGTATAAATGATTGGGGAATCTACTACATAAATGGTTCGTCAATCTACTACAACCTTTGGCCAATAGACCAGGATCTCCTCATTTTATCATTAAAAGCTCATTAGTTTAGGATGAGGGGTTCAAGTACAAATGGGCTTGGGTAGTACTGTACATTAATGGAATAATTGTCTAAAAAGAAGATGGGATGGCACAGGTACAACAATTTATGTCTGGCTGGTCAAAGAGATTTTACTGAGTTTGTGATGGGGCCCAGCAATCAACTTCCAAAATCCAGGCTGGGTAACTATCTAGGTAAAATTATTCAAGAAATAAACATCACCAGGGTTTACATCATTATGGGAGATTTAACTTACTACACATTGACTGAAGAATGAATGCATGCAGTATTGGGTCAGCTAGAGCACTGCCAGCAGGTCAAAGGATTATTCCCCTCTATTCAGCACTGGGGAGGCCACATCTGAAGTCCTGTGCCTACTTTTGGGCCCCCCACTACAGAAAGGATGTGGAAAAATTGAAGAGAGTCCAGTGGAGGGCAGTGAAAATGTTTAGTGGGCTTGGGAATATACTGATGAAAAGAGGCAAGGGAACTGGACTTACTGAGTCTGGAGAAGAGAAGACTGAGAGGGGATTTAATAGCAACCTTCAACTCCCTGAAGAGGGGTTCAAAAGAGGATGGAGCAGTGGTGGCAGATGACAGAACAAGAAGCAATGGACTCAAATTGCAGCAAGAGAAGTTGAGGTTAGATATTAGGAAAAACCTTCTTATGAGGAGGGTAGTAAAGCACTGGAACAGGCTATTCAGAGAGGTGGTGGCATCTCCATGCTTGGAGGTGTTTAAGACCCGACTAGGCAAAACCTTGACTGCGATGATGTAGCTGGAGCTGGTCCTGCTTTGAGCAGGGGAGGTGGAGGTTGGACTAGATGTGACCTCCCAAGGTGCCTTCAAACCCTCATTTTCTATGATACTTAGGGAACCCAGTCACCCCCCAAGGACGGGCCTTGGCTATATGTTGCTGTGGCAGATGTGCTGGTGCACGCTGCTCTGGTGGGCACTCAGTTGTGCCTGGCAACAGGCACTCAGTCGCATTAGGTGGCAGCGGGCGCATAGCAAAGCACTGCTGTGGCAGTGGGCACTTCATACGTGGTCGCAGTGAAGGGCGCCTGAGGATGCGCTGTCGGCGCCTTTTGGTCAGACAGCTCTGTTGAGCTGCTGCAGTCATGCCTGATGGGAAGCACTTGGTCATGAAAGATGGTGGCAGGTGTTTATGGAGGTGCTGCCGCCCTCTCGGGTACTTTGTTGTGGCTGGCAGCAGGCCCTCCATCACACAGGGTGGCAGATGGCATGTAGCGATGCTTTGCTCCAAGAGTGGGCACGTTGAATTGCTTGGATGCGTGAGTGGGCACGTGGTCCAGCACTGCTGTGGTGGCGGCAGGTGCGTGGCATCATATGGTAGGGAGCAGTTGGTGGCCCTTGGCAGTGGTGGGTGCTGGATGGCCTGTAGTGGAGGGCAGCTAGCAAGGCACTGCTGCAGTGCAGGGCATTGGGCACTGCTTGGTGGAGTGCACGTGGTCTTACACTGCAGTGCTGGGTAGGTGTGCATGCATGGAGGCAGGTCATCCATCATGCACAGCAGTTGTGGGCACTTGGTCATGCCCTGGCTGTCAGTCATGTCCTGCAGCTGTAAGCACTCAGGTACTGACTCCCACAGCAGGCTCTCCTCCTGCCTCTCTTCCGCTGGGCTCTCAGGCTTACATGGGAGGCTCTTGGTACAGCAACTGTGATTAGCAGCTGGGGGCCCACATGGAGGGCAATTATTCACGCACTTCTGATTGGGGGTGGAGGGGGCACATGGTGGGCGGTTGTTCACACACTTCTGGTTGGGAGCCGAGGGCGCGCATGGCGGGCGGTTGTTCACACACTCTTGGTTGGGGACTGAGGGTGCACAGGGGGCCTTGCCCTTGGTCGCCCGCTGTGGCTCAGTGGTCATGGTGGTGCAGCAAGGCTGGCTGTTGGCCGTCTGGTGCCAATTTTGAGCTGTGCGGGTGCAGCAGAGCTGGCTGTTGATCACATGCTGCTGGAGGGGTTGCTCGGCCATGCACCCAGGCTGCGGGCGCTCGCTCTCACATGGCCACAGGCACTCAGCTACGCACGTGTGCTGTGAGCTCACAGTCATGCCTGGCAGCGAGCCCTTACACACACTTTGGTGCAGTGGGTACAGGGCCAAGCACTGCTGCATGCACTGCTTGCCACGTGGCTGAGGGCACTGCAAGGGGCAGTACTCACAGTCTTGCTGCCACAGGCTTTTATTGACATGGCTTGACCCCAGCAGGGGCTGATGCTTGCATTGCTGTCTGTACCAAGGCATCTTCAGGCATTGCCTGGCTCTGCCTAGAAGATGTGTGAGAAGATAGATCATTTATTATATACACCCACTCATTTCTCCATGTTAAAGAAGCCTCTTTCACATAAACCCTCATTCCAGTACGGCCCAGAATATTTATAGCACTGGAAACAGAGAATTATCCATCACTAAGTTAAACAACATGCCTTTATTATCCCGCCACCGATGGAAAGATAGGGTCCTTTAACACTGCCACATAAGGAGTGGCTGAAGCCAGGAGAGGCTTGGATTTCAGAGCCAGAAGGCCGCTTTGTCTCCAGTTCCCAGAAATACATCTCAAAACCGGCCCCAGTGGCTTCAGTTCTTGATGCAGCTCTGAGCACCCAAGAATTAGCTGATCTACATGCTTTGCCCACATCTACCTGACACTATCACTTTATCACCAACAGCTGATGCCCGGGGGGCAGCCGTGTACTACTACTAAGGATAACTATGATCCAGAGATTTCAATGAAGATCAAAACTCTTTGAAATGTATGAAGTTGGGGGGATTTATTAGAAACTTATCATCGTCATAGCTTTCGTGCCAGGCTTAAAACAAATATTCATAACCTGTACCTGTTAACCTTAAAAGGCTCATGTACTCTTGCTCATCTCTCATTGTGAGCTGTATGCAGTGAAATGTGATTAATTAGTCACCTGGATAATGCCTCACTGTGACTCTATTGGCTGGTGCACTGAATACTCATCAGAATCCAATTTATTTTGTAAACAAAACAATTTGGCTCGCTGTCATCTGGTAAAGCACATTTAGTCATTTCCAAACATACATTTATATTAAACCACAGTGGATTATGCACCTGACAATTAATCAGCTGGAAGAGATGCTGACCTCCAAGTTTTAGAGTACCTTTCAAGCCACTTGATCTGCACAGAGCATTGGCTACTCCTCAGCTTCTCTTGGCTCGTCAAGACATAGACCGATCAACTATTCCATTTTGCAGAATTATCTTCTGTTTTGGTGATGACTGTGGCTGAGAGAGCAAAGCAAAAATGATGGATCACATCAGAATCCTGTCATTCATATATAGTGAGCACTTTCAGTCTTTAAAGAGAGAAATGTACATTAATTGTACATTATAAATGTGCAGCTCCCACATAGGAAGCCAGAATACACACAATTAATGCTCAACATTTTTGGGATGTGTATTTATCCATTAGAAATGCAAAAAAAAAAAAGAAAAATAATTCTTGTATCTCAGCACACCAGGCAAAGAGCAGCTCATGACAAGTTGAAAACAGTTAACTACTGATCCTTAGAGACTCGTGGGAAATTAGCCATCATTACCAATCCCACTGGAGTGACGAACTGATCAGATTTTCCTATATTCATTTTCTTCCCAGCCTCAAATTCAAATATCCGTATGTTAAAAAATCCCTGAGCTTGCTGTCTGTTTGCCTCTCAAGATTATTAAGGCCCAGCTAGACAAAGCCTTGGCTGGGATGATGTAGCTGGAGCTGGTCCTGCTTTGAGCAGGGGGTTGGACTAGATGTGACCTCCTGGGGGCCCTTCCCACCCTCATTTTCTATGATTCTGTGATTCTTTCCATCGATAGGATCCCATCAAATCACTTTTCCAGGACTCTAATATTGGGAGATTTGCCTGTTTCCAAATCTAAGCAACTGCACATCCGGCTGCTAGCAACATTTATGTTATCAATGGGCCTACGCCAACGTCAGACCTAACAAATGTCTAAGAGAAAAGATAATCCCTACTCATTGTATTTACAGTCTAACTAGAAACACCGGCCTCATATTCTGAAGACCAGGTGCTCCACTGGTGTAAATCGGCTCAGTTATGTTGAAATCAGGGATTTGCTCCACTGAATATTTTCTTCCAGGGGCTATTCTACATCAGCCACCCCAGACCCGGCAGCATCCCATAGCAATCAGACTTACCACCTTGACCCATGGAAAAAACCAGCCGGGAGTGCAGAGAGGAGCCTGAGACAGAAGAAGTTTTATAGAGCAAAGAGGCTTATGGGTGTGAGCCGCATTCAGCATGTGAGATTGGAGGCATGTGATCCCTGACACTCGCCTGCAGCTCGTGCTCCCCGAATGCTGTTGCCCTCTTGGCAGCTCCAAGAAGTGTGACACTACTATAAATACTCTGGGTGGATAAGCAACTTACTCCTGGCTGCTGCAATGGGAGGTGCTGCAGAGGAACATACATGTGTCCGAGCTCTGGCTGCTCTTTTGTCCGGGCTGGGCACTGGTTTGGAGCCAGGTGCTTTTGCTCGGCAGGCTGAGCTGGCTGCCAGCGCACTCTTCCATAAAGCTGGGTGTAGCCAGCGAAACTCTCCTGCTCCATCCCCATTTCAACAGACCAGACAGATGCAAGAGTGAACTCAGAGCTGCTCTTATGGGAGTCCCACGTGCGAGCTCACAAAGGGAAGGAAGCCCTCATGGGAGCTGCTTGCAGCCTGGAGCCTCTGTGATTCACTACAATGGATGCAGCCCTCCAAGGGTCCTGAGCTTTTTTCCCATTCAAGAATAGCTGACAAGTACAGACACAGCTCTTCCCAGGGAAAGACCAGGGCTGGGATTGTTCAAAGTGACAGAGGGGGACTTAGCCTCCATTCATTCAATGGAAGCTCAATGTGTCTAAACCCCTTAGACCAGTGGTTTTACAACCCTGAGGGGTCCTCAGACTATGTCTATGGGGTCCATGAAAGATCTCTATGATCAAAAGTAGGGGAATACCCACACTTACTATTCAAAGGAGTCCGCACCTCCATTTGAAATGTTTTGGGGGCTCACAAATGAAAAAAAGGGTTGAAAACCAGTGCTGTAGATGGTTTTGAAAACCAGCCTAGAGGGGATTCTCAGGAAATTATCTTAGTCCTATACCTTGGCCACACAGCTCCCTTTTTCTTTGATTTACAAGAGGTAAGCTCCTTGGGAACAGGACAGTGGGCCAAAAAACCAAGGGCAGGAGGTGATGTGACTTGCAAGGCAATGCTACTATATAGGAACCTGCTCAGCACCACAAAGGCAAATCTGATGGAGCCAGGGCAGCAGGGCCTGGTGGTAAAACTGCTGATCTAGAACTCAGAAACCCTGTGATCTTCTTCCAGCCTTCTCGTATGCTTGCGAAGTGACACACCCACCTTCAGCTTCCTCCATGCCTGTTTAAAAACAAGGTATACGCCTTCTGTTTTTCATACCTAGTGAATTTTAATGGTGAAGTGTATGGGGAATGGGGTTGGACATCTTGACACAGAACATTTATTTAAATGCTTATTTAAAAGCAAGGGGAAGTGTTTTTTATTTATTAACTTATTGAAAGTGACATTAAATTCAAGTGTATGGATGTTTAGACAAAGGTACGGCGAGCGTTTCTTTGATGGGACTCCAAAATTAGCTGGATTCTTCAGCGGGGTGATCATTTATATACTACTTACATGAACAGAAAATAATACCCAGACAAAGAAACCACTGTTCTTGCAGTTTATTACATGTCTTAACATTAGATTTGTTTGAGAATGCATACTCTTCCTCATGAACATTTTTTCATTTGACTAGAAATTTTCTTTGGAAGCTTTCTGTGTTTTCATCGGAGAAAAAAAATCAAAAGCTGAAAAAAAATATTAGGTTGCGAGGTTTTTTGCTTTTTTAGTGTAAGGATTTGTCTTTTCATTAAAAAAAAACATTTTTCTGCAAAAGCTGCCGTTTAGCTGATAAGGAATTTTCTCAATGTATCCAGGGAGTTTTATTTTTCAACCTGCTCTATTCATAAGTATTTTTCTTGGCCATCTTTTGGCAGTGCAAAACTCTTTAGCTCAGCCTATCACAGTGCTTGTACACGTGACGAAATTTGCCCTTTTCTGCGTTTCAACAGCATTACAGTTTGCAAATGCGGGTTTTCCTCACATTTTAAAAGTCTTTCTGCATTTTAAAGTAAAACCCATCCTGACATGGTTTAGTTTGGGTCACCACAAATGAAAACATGGTGTCCATGGATTCGTCATATGCAAATAGAAAAGCACCCAAACCATTTTTTAAATGCGTCTACAAAACGTTTTTTTTTTTAATTGAAAAGTGTTTGGTCCAGACCCTTTTTTGTGTGTTTGAAACACCCAGCAGGGGAATAGCAACCAGGTCAATGACTTTTCACAAGCACCACCTTGGCAGGAGTTGTGTTTGCTACAAACAAAACACTTATTAAAATTATGCTAATTATCAACCCGGTGATTCCAGCTCATATAGCACAATATTAACCTGATGACAACATCCTAAACTGTTTGTTTAATCATTTTAATTAACATTTGCAAAGGGTTTTGAAATCCTTTCATGTGAGGAAGCCTCACTGTGTTGTAAGAGGAGGTAGAATATAATTTTCCCCACTAGAAATAAGGGGGGAATTGAGGCACATTGAGATGATGTCACTTGTCCCATGTCACCCAACGTCAGCATCAAAAACAGATATAGAAACCCATCATATCCGATGTAGAAGTGAATCCTGGGTCCTAACCACTAGGCTTGCCTCCTGCTACACTGCATCGCAGCTAGGGTTGCCAACTCTGCTTGAATCTATTCTTTTCTACTCTCGTGGGTCCCTGAATCCAAAGACATCCTTAACACATGCCTAGCGGATGCAGAATGAGAGACTCGCACACAAGTGCCTGTGACACTCTGGATGAATCATTTCCTGATTAATTAATTATTTTGCTAAATACTGACAAGCTAAAGATGATTTCTAGGGTTGAACCCTCTGGGTTTTCTGGTCCAACATCCTGCACAGGCCTATTGCTAATTGTATTTAAGCAAGCCCAGACAGATGCCCATCCAGCCTCTCTTGAAAATCTCCAATGAGGTGGATTCCACCACTTCTCTGGGCAGCTTGTTCCATGTTTCTGCAGGGAAGAAATTGTCCCTGAGATTTGATTTGAACTGGCCTGATTGGAGTTTAAATGCTTCTGGTCCTGCCCTCTGTGCCTGGGAAGAGCAATGTATCACCATCCTCTTCGGGGCAGCCTTTCAGATATTTGAAACATGCTATTATGCTCCCTCCCACCCCCTTTCTCCTCCTTTCCAACAGCTCCTGGGACTGAGGCACAGTGAAATTCCTGAAAGAAAGGATTTCTTGCATGCTGTTTGTAAGCACTGCTGTTCAGGAGCTGGTGTTCACCATGTAGAGAAACAACCCCCAGTAAGAAAAGACCCGTCCCATATCACCCCTTTTTCCTGCATCAGAAGTCCAGCCTGCACGGCCTTGATATTTCCTCCTATCTGTCATAAGGGGTGACACTAATCGCTACAGAAAGCTCTGTGCAAACTAGCAAGAATATTTCACAGCCAGATGACTGTAATGATAAAAAAAAAAATACTGCTCCAATGACTTGGTTATTTTATATAAAGAGAACCAATTGCACCATATTTTAAAAGGGCCCAACTTTGTTCCTTGAAAGGTAAGAGCTCCTGCTCCTCTCCAGGGAAACAGATCTTCCCTGGACCAAGGTGGCTCCCTTCAGCAATGGGGGTGTCTCCAGAGGACAGGATTTCGGACTCACTGCCACCCACAGCATCTCCCACCAGCTGGCTCTCTGCATCCTTTTCTGGATCCCAGTCAGAAGTCTGTTGCTCTCTCCATGCACGAGAGAGAGAGACCCTGAGATCAAAAAGCTGCCTGTTGCTGTTCCAAACTTTTAGGTACTGACATCCTTTGTTGGGTGCCACCCAGGACTATGTTCCCACAGAGCAGAGCTTTGGATAGAGAGCTCCTAAACCCCAGTCTATGCCCTCCAGCACTCTTCCCTGTCTCCTGAGCCTAACTACTTTGTCATTGTCTTACCAGGAAGGAATAATAAATGATTTTTCTCAGGCAGGGGTTCTGGACATCTAATAAAACAAAGAGTGCAAGGACCACAAGGAAGCAGATACTGTGATGAAGCATAAGGTTTAATTTTAAAAGCAATTGGAAAAGGATTTTTTAAGTACAGAGTACAGAGCTCCAGGCAGCCTGGGCAACACATTGTGAACACAAAGTCCCTCAGTCACAGCCATGGATGGAAGAAAGCACCAGTTACATGGGTGCGATACCTGAGTAAAATTACATAAAAACATTTTTGTGAGCAGAAATGTAACTTATCTACAGACATGGCTAGATCGATCTTTACGATCTTTATGGGCCGGGACCTCTGGTATAAATAGTTACTGGTGCTCCAACATTATAGCGCATCAAATAATTTGGCCATGTATCCATGTATCTGTGCTCATGGAGGTCTCCAGCATGCAAACAATAAATCAACTTTGTGCCAAAGCTATTCATACCCTGTGTCTACATCTAAGCTTAAAAGCAACTACGCTGTGGAAATCTCACGCTAAAGGAGCCCACGGGTATCTTCAGGTCAGTTCCAAAGGCAGAACCAACAGATCTGGGGGCTGGCACTAGGATACTCCAGTCACACAAGGATGCATTGAACTCGAGACTTCAGCATCAGTCTCGGGAATTTCTACTTTTTGTCTTCTTATCTCATTAATTTACCAGTGCCTGTGTGAAGCGGGTGAAAAAACAGACAGCTTTGCACTAAAGCAAGGAATAAACTAGAAGCATGTACAGAGTAACCACACAAACATCATTCACACACACTTCCAGGTAATAAATTAATCTATAAAGAACAGAGCCGTGAACCCAGGGTGCAGCGTCTCAGAGAGTGTGAGCAGGAGGAGAAGCATGGTGCATGGAGAGCGGGTCTAGCCGTCTGTGCTCTTTCCTTCATGCTCTTTCAAAACCACTTGGAGGCAGAGCAGTACTTCTTGTTATTGCTCGAAATCTTCACTTTGCTTGATTGACCTTTGGTCACGCACTGCTGGGGGCACTTGGTCACGCACTGCTGAGGGCACTTGGTCACACACTGCTGGGGACACTTGGTCACACATGGTGGAGGGCACTTGGTCACGCACTGCTGGGGACACTTGGTCACACATGGTGGAGAGCACTTGGTCACACACTGCTGGGGACACTTGGTCACA